CGCATTATCATTAAATTCAAGCCGGTCAAACGCGTCCTGCCAAACTGCACTTGTCTGATTTGGCTGTGACAAAATAACAGTACAAAGTACAGTACAGTGGCAATTTTATATTCCTCAGAAGACTGATGCTGCTTTAGAGACCTCGCTGTAATTTGACTTCATTTTGCTGCTGAGCTCAGTTTTTCACATGTAACTTAATGAGGAAAATCACACATTTCTGCTCCGTAAATCACACGTGAAGAGAAGCAAAAATTCTGAATTCTCCCCAAAAAGAAACAGATTTTTACGTTCACCCCATGTGTGTTTTTTAAATTATATAGAGTATGTGTCACATGCAGAACATGCAGTGACTCACAACTAAAATCAGCCTCAGTTTTATTCTTACAGTTTGTTCAGTGAGTGGAGAACAACAAGATGTGTTGTTTTGTTGCTTAACGTGTTTAAACAGGACATTAAAAGGAACCTTTTAAGCTCATTTCCAGCTTTGTATTTTCAATTGTTCTTCAAGTTTGCACGATTCAAAGCTGAAAATAATCTCTACTGGTGCAGACTAACCTAAATAATCTAACCAAATAATAATAATTATAGTAATAATAACCAAAAACAATCTTTTTAGCTCCCATCCGCATTCTCTTAACACACCTTTCTTCTGATTGGCAGCTCCTCGTAACCGGAAGATTTGAAGTGAGGGTGGGTGGGGCCCCTGTGCTCACAGCTACAGCTGCATGTTAGAGTATTATTATGGATATCCGGTCTCAATTATTAATAATACAGAACATAGACCACCATTTTAACTGGAAATAATGTACACACACAGTCTGGATACTTTATACAGCACACCTTGTTGTACTGGGTTGGACCCCTTGTGTCTTCGGAGAAGCCTTAATTCTTAATGGCACAGATTCAAGAATGTGCTGGAAACATTTATCAGAGATCAAAGATTTACTTGTCAGCTGCACATCCATGATGTGAATCTCCTGCTCCACAACATCCCGAAGGTGACTGCTGGATGAAGATCTGGTGACTGTGGAGGCCATTTGAGTGCAGTGAACTCTCTGTTTTTTGAGAACCAGAATTGAGGTTGGTGACATGGTGGAAGCAGCCTTCAGAAGATGATTGCA